CCCCACACAATCATACATAAAGACGCACACACTTGAATATCTATTTGCGTGCGTTTGATGAAAATAACATTTTGGTTTCTTTCTTTTTAATCATAATTAAATTCATGGTTCGTGTCTCAACATGAGCGCAAATCAAAAGCTGTTTGCCTCTTTGCCTTATTCGCTCTTTCGCTGCGCTACGCCAACTACTCTTGCGCGCGCTCTCTCTCTCTCGCTCGTTTGCTCGTTCAATCGCTCGCTCGCTCACACTCGTCTGCTTCTTGCTCGCACTCGCTCTTGCGATGTTGTTTGACGTCGCCGCAAGGTGAGCGTCGCATCGTCTTCGTCGGGTGTGTGCGCGCGCGCGTGTGTGTGTGTACACTTTGAATGTCTCGATCATTTCTATTGTCCGCACACACATTTACACATATGTGTGTATGTATTTGTATTACTTTTTATTGCGCTCTGCTGCTCGTGTAGGCCGCGTCAGGTTGTAGCGTTTGTATGAGCATAGGTGTAGCTAGGTAGGTAGACATACACACACACACACACACACACACAGCACACACACACGCGTTGGTCTTAATTGCGCCTCCGTTGGCTGATTGCTCGTTTACACGAGCATAATTCCATCCAATCTAATGCCGAGGCGTAATTTCACTTTGACGAAAGCGCCACCCATTTTCTAGAGCATCTTTGGCCCGTACACTGTGCAGCGTGTGTTTTCTTTCGCTTTTGCTAGTACACTCTGTGCTCTCATTCACATACCCACACAACTACACACGTGCTTCGATAATTTCATAATCATGTTTCTATTTTTCACATTGATAACTCCGCACCGGAACTGCAAAGCTCGAGCAACTGAAGCCCTCATGTAAATCTGGCGCATTCATGTTTTTTTTTTTTTTTTTGGTACAATGTCGAGGCATTAATAACTCATACGCAGCCCCAGCATCTCCATCTCCATCTCCATCTCCATCTCCAGCACCAGCCCCATCTCCATCTCCAGTCCCATAAGCGGTGTCAACGACGCCTCCACTTTCATTCGAAAGATAAATGAAATGTCATTTGCCGTGCGTGTTTTTAGTACAACAGATCGAACGACCAGCATCATTATTCCTATACGCGCATATATAAATATGTATATTTATATATTTGTACATATATATGTAGTCAAAATTCCTCTATTTGGTATTAATATGCCTATTTTTAGCTGATCTCGAAAACAAAAGTTATCTAACTGACCCAGTCTGAAGAATTTTAGTTCAAAGTGAGGCCAATTGGTAAATAATATTCGAAATGTTTTTAAGTGAATATTATCTAAAGCTAATAATAATATCATATTTCAACTGTTTCTTGAACGTACTTCTCATTTTCTGTAGCTCTAGTTGGGCTACTCTGACACTCTTCTGGTAGCTCATGAGATTTCCCGACATTTGCTGCTGACAATAATTGTTCCACTTTGGAATATAATTTTAGCTGCTGCAGGAAGTCATTAAGCTCATGAGGTGGCATAAATAAAGTTTACCTCCCACTGCCAGAATAGGGACAAGACAAGGAAGACAGTTTCGGGAGGAGAAGTGCCCGACTAGAGGATACCTAGAAGAAAATATTTTATGAAAATAGCCCGAACATATTTCGAAGAAAATATCTCATAGCAGACACTTCTATTAAGATACCTTTATAAGTATAGCTCAATGAGGTTACCTCAATGTGGATGCCTCGGAAAATATACATCGTTCAGCACAATGAGTAATGAATAGGAAATTGTTGAATAGGAATTGTTGAAGCATTATATTTCAGAATAAGAATAAGTTCTTTATGAATATGTTTGAAAATGAATTATGAAGCCAAAGGGTAAATTTAGGTATTTCAAAATAAATCGATTTGATTTAATATAGTTGTAATCTTCAAGCATACAATATACTCTAAACTGGGTTTTGATATCGATAAAAATCGATCTTAATCTATTATCTGAAACATACTTGATCTGTCTGACTTAAAGCTTCTTTTGCCAGTTGGAAATCGACGATATTGGCGCGTGGAAGAAATACAGACGGACAGACAAGATGAACAAAAAACATAACGTTTCAAACGATAATCCCGATCCGGATTTTATATAGAGTAGAGTCCCGATAATTCGAAATGGCAATTTACACAGATATTTAAATTATCGATAATTATTGAGAACGAATTTCTTTCAAGGGAATCGAATTTTTTGTTCGACTTATCGCGATTTTCGATCTACGTACGAATTTCTTATTATTATTTATTTAGGTACGAATTATCGAGACTCGACTGTATATATATATATATTTCAAATCTGATCCATCTCTTTCAGGCAAATAAAATACCCTGTCTATCCATCTGTTTCAATGGGCATCAGGCAAAAGCTGAACTGTGACAGGCCACGCACGGGCAAACAAAATAAAAATTTTAGGTGTAGCTAACACTCGAAAACTTGGAAAACATCAAATTGTCGTTGGAGTGCGCCAGCGCCCCAACTCCCATCTTCCATCAGTCGATCTCCTCCAATGGAAGTCCGATCACATAGAGCGGCTAAATGTATCTAATAGATACACGACAGCATGTCGAACGCTGCCATCCGAGCATAAAGTCTGAGAAGAATGGAATGGGCTCCGGTCTATGGGCTCTGTTCTATGGGCTCTATGGTCTCCGGTCTATGATGGGACGATGGGAGTGGGTAGATCGAAAGCATTCCCAACGTGAGTTTCTAATTAACATTTGGTATTGTAGTACACGTTTAATTTATATCTTATTGATGCCGGCGACATTTGAATTTTTATTTTTATCAGCGTGGAGGGGGGCGGGACGGTGCTCCTCCATCGATAGGGTCGATTCTGGTCTGTTAGTACTTTTCTTAAATTCATTTTTCTCATTTTTTCCCTGAGTGCGAGTGGGTGTGGAATTTTATTTTTATAAATATTGTGGAAAGCTCGAAATTTATATGAATTAGGCAGCTCATATGATCTCGCCTCTATAGTGTCCCTGCTTTTTGCTTGTCTTTGTTATTTCGTGTATAATTATTGTTCATATTCTGTAGATACCCTGAGGCCACTAAAAATGGGTATACTGTCTTTCTTCATAGCAGATGTAACGGTTAAAAGGAGGCGTGTCACTTAGAAGAATGATGAGCTGGCTGATAGAGGTTGTCCGTTCCTATAAAAATATAGATCTTTAATTTTCAAAAACTTGAATTACAATCTCATTCCAATTTCTTTATATAGATAAAAATAGATTTTTTGCTTCATTTTCTGGTTTTAATTGACTGGAGACTCGAAGACATGAATGCTATGACTATTGATAACTTATTATTTTCAATATTCTTCCCAAATTTGCATAAAACAAATATATTAAGAGCAGTAGAACTTTGCTCTTTAGTATATGCACACATTTCGATGTCGCACATATTTCCTGAAAATTCCACTCAAATCGTACATCTATAAGTCGAGTTATTTAAGGACATATTCGCAATACTGGATGAACTACAAGAATAGCAGGCGCAGCTCTAGCATAATGCAGTGTGGGTGCATATCTCTGTGTGTATGTATGCAACCTGGAATAACTGAAGCAGCAACTATGTTCATGATGAAGGCTATCTCTTAGTCGAGCACTCCCTACTTGACCAACTCTTACTTGTATCTTTGTTGTTTGATGCTCATTTCACGCATTTGCCTTTCATATGTAGTTTTTGTTGCTATTTTTTATCTATACTCTAATTAAAATATTCGTGTGTTTGTTTTTCTGGCTGTCTTGCTTTAATTTTATATTTTTATAGCACACAGCAACAAAAACAACAACAACAATAACGACAGCAATAACAACAAACAGTGTTTTCTGTACATTTATTTCGTTTCTGTTTTAATTCTCGACAGAAATTGTCAATGAAGAAGAAGCAGAAGAATCCGAAACGGAAGATCGTGGGAGGTTCAAGTTTTAGATAGTACTTGCTTTATGTATGGATTTAAATATGTATATTCATATATATTTATATTATTAATTATATTTATATTAATTTAAATTGAATATACATTGAGCTCAGCTATTAATCAAATGGTGATGAAAAATATTTTCATCAGAAAAACATTCAAATATGAAATTTGAATGACTTGGTTATTTAACAAGATTAGCGTTTGGTCCCACACCTTATTAATTCGTGCACACACACAGGCGCACATATACTCTCACTCACACACACACACACACAAATGTATCTGCATTTTGCTCACTTGCTTTATTTATAAACATTTATATCGTTAATGTTATGTACCGAGCGCTATGATTATACATTTATTTAAATACTTGTGCGTATTTTGATGACGATATTCGCGCTATTTAAAATGATAGACAAATATATACATATATCTACGAATAAAAGCATCTATTAAATACTAGAAATGAGCATAAAAATATATTTTAAATTCACCTATAGCATAATTCGTAGAAACACCTGCCAATAAGCAAACAAAGGGGTGTTACACGCTATATGCATGTACATCGCACATGTTTGAGTACATCATGTTAATTCTTGACCAGTTAGAGTACATCAGTTGCGAGCATCGAACATGTTTGATGTTGCTTCTCAAGCAGTAAGTTAACAGAATGTTAAAGTATGCGCGTAAGTCAAACAATAAAGCAAATAAACAAACTCTTTTGGCTAATTATTTATTGCTAAATTAGCAGAAAATTATATCGCACTATTGATTACCTAAACATAATATCAATTGCTAAAACAAAATCCCTTTCTCCATTGACATCTTACCGACATTGTATGTATTGTAAGCCCTAAGAGAATGATCCACATACTAACAGCTCTCTGTTAAGGGCAATTACATGCCAATAGATATTTGTTCATCGCACATCGGCTTCGGCGCGGCGCTCGTTCGATTGCAACCAGTTCGGGTTTGACTTGCAACGTGGTTCGGCTCGACGCTTTGTTTTGTGTGTGTGCCGGCGTTCGTCGCTACCGAGCGCGTTTCGTTCGGTCCGACAAGCCGAAGCAAGTCCAACAAGACAACGCAAGAGCAAGTAAAAAAAATTACGCGGGTGTTCTCAGTACATTTCCAGCAATCAGACGGGCAGCAGGTGTCGTGGTTTAAGTGCGGCTCATTTTCACTTACTATTTGTGATTTGTTTTGGTTTCTTAGCCAAGTCCGAGTGGTCGAGTCGGCCGACTGGCTTTGCAATTGGATAATCATTTCAATTACAACTCATTAACAATTTACAATCACATGCAATTAACGCGAACGATCTACCTATCTATCCATGTATCTGTAGTGCTCCAAAATACAATCAAAGCAATCAAAATAATAATTTAGTGCACTTGCCACATGTGCCTCGTTCAAGTGATAGTTAATTTGCAATGCCTGCCGCAAATGCAGGCGAAAACAATAATCAAAATAAACAACAACGAAAATCAGTGACAATTCGCCTCCTGCGGCTAGGCAAACATCAGCAACAACAATAACAGCAACAGCCACATCAAACGATGACAACAGCAACAGCAAAAAAATCATAATAACACGCACACACAAACAGCCAGAAAAAGCAGCGGCAAATTGGCATAAATAAATAAAAATCAGCGTTGTTTTTGCTTTTTTACAACCTGATTTTTATGAATGAATGCAGCAGCAGCAGCAACAACAGCAACAGCGACGGCGACGGAGGCGGCGACAGCGTCGCGTGCACAGGAGCGCAGCAGCAGCGTAATCCGCGCCTTGCCCGTTAAATAGAGCCTAGACGGCTCACTGCCCGGCGCCCGCCTATTCCAGCCCTGTCAATTGTTTATATACCGTATGCAATTGGATTGCGAATTTCGATTTCGAATGCGATTCCCCTAAGCGAGCGCCTTGGTGACACATCGCGCTCAACGCTTGCAGTTGTTGTTGCTGTTGTAGCTGTCGTCCGTGCTTCACACACTCACAAGCACACGCTCACAGACACATAGACTACAATTGCTGCTGTTGCAAAATTAATAACGGAAGTTGTGCATTTTATTAATAAAAGCGAAAATCACACACAGAGCCCAAAAGCAAAGCGCAAAAAAAAAAAAAAAAAAATCAACAACAAGAAAATATATAGCAACAACAATAAAATCACAACAAAATCAGAGCGCACAAATGCAGTGCGCTGAGCGTCATCTTTTACAGTTACTTTGCTTTAGCCGCTGTTCGTTGCTTCTGTTGCAGTAGCTGTTGTTCTCGTTGTTGTTATTGTTGTTGTCTGTGCTGCACTGTGGCCCCCCTCATTGATTTTGATTGGCTTCGTTTCAATTTTTGCAGTTTGCGGTGTTTTGTGCATCCCTAAAAACAAAAACAAAAACAACAAAATAGGCGCCTCCACAGAAATTCTAAATTCTAAATCGACCAACAAATTTACACGTCCAACCTCCCCCAAATATATATATATATATATAAACATATAGAAAAACAAAAACCAACAACAAAAATTCGAAATCGTATTGCAAAAAGTTTCCGAATTTGTGATTTTCCCAATTGAATTCTGTGTGCGACAGCCAAAAGACATCAATACTAAAGAAATATTAACGGTTCGAACGGAACTAACTATTCCTAAACAGAACTTAAATTAATCAAATCATCCAACGGCATTTGGTAAGTCCATATTGAAATATTAATTTTAATAATTACCCGGCCTTGCATGGCTAATTTTATTATATACTATAGGGTTACAAAATTGTAGAAATTTTCAAAAAATGTGTTGAAACTTGAGTTCTTATTGAATAAGTATAGATTGTGTTTTAGTTTTCTTCAATCTAACCATATCCATCCAACATTTTCATATATGTATATGTATGTCGTATGATTCTGTGGATTAGAAACTTCAAATATTTATTCAGGTTTAAATATAAATTATCTTCGGGTCAGGGAAATTCAGATAACAGGGCTGTATCATTTTCTATGATGTTTTTAGGTTAAACAGCCTTCGCTATATATAGATATATGCATGTACACCTGATGACCTCTTATGGTCTGGCATATACATAGGCACAACTCTAGTAATGAGCAACGATTCTTAAATTTTTAAATGATTTTCTATACTTTTTCATAATACATTATCATGATATATACATATGTATTATTACTTAATAGCAAAACTATAGCTGTTCTTTAGACTAGTATACAATCTTCAAGCTTCTTTAGTTATAGATATATTTAAGCTATTCGGTTTTTTATTTCTAAAAAAAGTGAACAATTTTATATTTATTTAATCTAGGAAAATTAGGATAATTGTTAAATCTGAATATTTTTATATATTCTTTATATTTGTTATAAAAATATATTTTTATGTTTAAGTAATGAAATGAAGAAAAAAAAATTAAATTGTGGGAAGTTATTGCTTAAAATTCGAAAAAATCCGAATAGAGATAAATCACAGATGAATAAAAATTATTATAAATTTTTAAATATAAATATTTCGTATCCATTATAATATGAAATATGTGTAAGAATTTTCAAAATGGAAAATGTAGAATCTTTCGCTATACATCTGTACTTAAAAAATTTATATTAAATAAAAGTAAAAAAAAACTAAAAATTAAAATATTTTTATATGCGATATAAATAAAAATAAGTCATTTATCCAAGATAAATTTTAAATTATTTTATTTCTATATAAAAAAAAGCTATAAATTTTGGATCGTATAAAACTAGGGAACTAAACTAGGTATTAGGATATTGCGGTGTTCGGAGTATTCAAGTTCATTTGCGATTTGTGTTTGCATTTCATCAATCAAATCGAAGTAATTCTCATATTTAATAACCAGTTCAGCTCTTCACAGTTTTAGCCAACTATAGTTGGCTGTTATTTGGGAAGGGAAGGGAAGGGGAGGGGGTCTGGTAATGGCAGAGACAATGATGGTAATGGTAGATAATGGATGTCGAGTTACGGATGCTGCGGCTGCTGCTTCTGCCGATGCTGCTGATGCTGCTGCGTAAGTGTAGTTTTCTCGCCCCGGCTAATGTTGTTTTTTCGGGCCAACAACAAAGCAAATACAAATAGAGAAAACATTCGAGCCAGCTAACAGAAGTGAATAGTTAAAGCCCTCAAAATACCACAAAAACGGAATGCAGAGGAGTTGAACAATTAACGCGTTGCTGTAATTACAGCGAATGCTAAAACACAAAATTGAGAAAAAAAAAAAAAGTTTGGGAAACCAAACTAAAAAAACAACAAAATATATTAATAATCAATAACCCGCTAAAAGGCAGCAGCCAAGACGCCAATAGAGGGGTGGGGGAAGCGCTAGTCTTAGCGGGTTGGGGATAGAGAGTTGGAGTTGATTTTATCGGTCGTTGAACGAGAAGATTTCCAAGCGAATTCTCTATCCAAACTGGAGGCTGAGGGCTGAACCAAACAGAGAACGGTGCGGCCCACAGTATGTTGCGGTAGTTGTTGTTGTTGTTGTTGTATGCCAGCGATCGGTTTTCGGTTAATTACGCTTCAAAGTCAAAGTTGAGTTTAGCTTTTGGGTTTGCAGCAGTCGTCGCTAACCATTGCCCTGAAGTGAGCCAACTAATTACACAAAAAAAAAAAAAAACAAGTGATTTGCGTGCCCCACAGGCAACTTTTGCAACAACAACAACAACAACAGCAACAACGACAACAATTTTGAAGTGCTTCAAATTTGTTGCTGCTGTACCGCTTGTAATTTGCAACTCAGCAACTTGCGTAGCTAATTAGTAAAAGAATTTGGTTTGAAGACGAGGTAATGGTTCAGTTCATTTCTTTACATACATCCATTAAAAATGAGCTGGACAGGTTAGACGATGACAGGGTTTACGTTGGTATGCATAGCAGGCAGGGGATGTAGGATGCAGGCAACAGACGGTGTTGACATCCACCTTTGGTAAGGATCGATAGCATATGCGAACTAGATCTGTTCATTAATCTGTCAATCTCTGATAATATTCGAGAATTGAGCAATTCCTCTTCGAGTTGTCGATAGCTTTTACAAATTGAATGACATATGTTTCATTCGCAAAGTGTTAGACTTAGTCTTTTTCTCAATGTCTCTTTCTTAAGCGTGCTCAGATAAGATCCAATTTCGATTAAAATCGATTTTAGCTTTCTCAGTTGTTTTTAGTCTTGCTAAATTGTTGATGCGAATCCTCTAGATTAGATTTCGTAGGGTATATTATAAAGCCATTTGAAATAATGAAGAGTATCATAGCAAAGAGCAGCAGAGGAAGTTGGAGCTGTGAGAGCTGGAGTATGGATCTCCCCTTTTATACTTCATGTATCACTAAAGTACTTGACATTTAAAACTACTATACGGAATGATCCAACCAAATCAAATATTTTTTAGAGCTCTTACTTTATTCTATGAAATCGGAGACGTCACCATTTCGAAAAAATCTCATTTAGGAAGGAACTAGAACTTTTAAAGTCTTAACTCTGGTCTAAGCTTTTGTGAACTTTTATCATTCCCATTCCATACCAATGTTTATAGATCTCAGAATATTACTTCTTTCCATTTTATATTGTAATATTTAGAATTTAATTAAAATTCTATATATATGTAGGTGCTCTCAAAGTATTTAGAGATATGGAGTACTTTCTCTATACCTTTTCCTTTGTAAGCCTAGATAAAAGCCGAATAGCTGCATGTCACTTGGTACGAGGTATCTTCAAGTCGTGTACATAAGACTTGAGCACTTTTACTTGTTCCTTTATTGATTTTGCAATAAAGCATCCAAGGAGAAAGAGTGGAGAATAGATAGAGAGAAAGAGAGAGGGGGACACTGATATGACCTTTGACAGGCGCCTTCTAACTCTCTGAGTGTATGTGTGTATATGTGTGTGTGTGTTTGAGTGTCTTTAGCAAGGCCTCAAACAATTTATCATTAAAAAATAAAAGTTTTCTTCAGTTTTTCTCCTTTTGGCTTTTTAACTACCTAACCATGCCCCCCGCTGTGGTCAAGGACTGGGCCGTCGGGCCTCATTCGTCGCCGTTCTAGATAAATAAGCATTCTTAATTATCCCCATTTTGACTGGACACAAAAAATCAGAAACAGAAAAAAAGAGAAAAATAACAAAAAATATTATAAACAATGGAAAATGGAAAAACCGCGCACTTAATGCGTTTTCTGTTTCGCCAACAACAACAAGCAGAATAAGAAGAAGCATAAAAAGTATTTTTCTTGATATTATTCATTATTATTATTATTATTATTATTATATGGCGGGCAAAAAGGAAAATGTTTTTATTGCCCGCAAAAAAAGGAAAAGGGTGCCGAAGACGTCTTTGTCGTTAGCCATTAGCTGCCCCCAAATAACTCTTGAAATTCTCATGAAAAATTCAAAGTGGCCAAAACGTGTGGCCAATTATGAAGACTTGGCCAATGACAATGACTTTTTCCATTGCTCGGCACACACACAGGTGCATCTGGGTAATTGCAGCCGAGGCAAAGCAAATTCGGGCTGGAAGGACAATTGTTTTCTTAGTGGCGCCTCCACGCCTTGGCCATGACTTGACAGATTTGTGATCGGCCAACACAATGGCAAATCCGCGCTGGAAATTGAAATGCGCTTAGTTTACTTGAGTTTAGTTTAGCTTAGTCCGGCAGTGGCAAATGCTTTACACACATGAGTCTCGAGATGACTGTGGGTTCTGAGCATTGTATTGCCATTGTTCTGAGAAGATGATTTGCCATTTCTCAAGTCGGGGCCATCGAGTGATAATATCGATGGCGACATTCGAGTTTACAGTTTGAGAAAATTCGGGCAAATATTTACCATTTTATTGTGGCATATGTATTTATATAAATACATATTATTTTATTTTTATCACATTCAGAATTTATAGTTTTAATTTTGTTCATCATAATTTTTTGCACACTTTCGTAACTGATAATACTTGATATATACATTTGATTTGCAATTATTTTTCATTTTGAGAATATACAGAATACCCTTAATATATTATATAATAAATAAATTGACTAACAAGTTCTTAGCTCTTTTATGTTAAAGCCTTAACAAGAGTTGACAGTTAGACCGTTAGGAGCTGGCGATAGCACAGGAACGGCGCTAATAAAAAAAAAAAAAAAAAAAAACTGCAAAATTTCTAGAAATTTTTTTAGTTTATATTAGGCTGTACAAAAACCAAACCCACGACCTAAAAACCAACCGTGTGTGTGTGTGTTCATGAGTTTATGTGTGTGTGTGTGTGTGTGTGTGTGTGCAACTATTGTCAAATGCAATTTTCTAACGCAGCCGCACTTTCGACGCTGACAACGGCGTCAACGCCAGCTGCGGCAACGGCAGCTGCAGCGGCAGCGGCAGCGGCAGCAACAATTGCAGTTTTAAGTGAAAATAAAACAAACTACTACAGCAACAACAACAGCAGCCGCTTTTGGCCAACAACAATAAAAGCCTAAAACCTAATAAAAATTCAAATTAACATTTGAAAGAGCGAGCAGGCATGAGCGTGCAAAAGAGAGCAAACCAATGGGAAGGAGAGAGAGCTGGAGCATACGAGCGAGCGAGCAAGCGAATAGCAAAAAATGAGAGAGAGAGAGAGAGAGAGAGAGAGAGAAAGAGAGAGAAAGAGAGCGATGCACAACACATGCGAATGGGATAGACAGAGCTG